CAGTTCACTCAAAAGGGAAAAAAAGTCTGTCGGAACACTTTAGCATAGCACTATTAGTCAAATGATGTTCAACTACATAGGAAAATAATTTCTCATGGTTTCTAAGTTTTGTTACCTGTATGACATCAATTACTTCATCAAAGTTAGTTCCTGGAAACTTCACCTCTTCTTCATCTGCCTTCATAATTTCTGCAGTCTAAAAAGCATTTTCAGAAAGATTTTGTTGTGTTTAATCTTTTTTTAAAAATGCATACATAATATTTCATATTCTCACCCATAATATAAACTTGTAATTACATGGTCTTACCTCAATATTTTAATTTTAGTATCAGGTTCCAGGAGTCCTGATGTGGTGCTCTGAACTAACCACAAGGTTGGCAGTTCAAACTTCTTTATACACGGTCTCTATGAGTCAGAGCTGACTCGACAGCACTTAACAATAATAACAATAACAGGTTCTGAATTGATTTAACTGGTAAATGAAACTTCAGTTAATCCTCAAGCCCCACTCCAGTAACTATATGTCAGTTTTTCTAATAAGGAATCTATAGAGAATTACCTAATGTCTCTTCTAGCCATAGTGTGTAACTCCCACCAAACATTTCTGCCCTGCTGGATCAGATAGAAGGTGGGAGAAGATACCGATAGAATGACATAATCAAGCAACGGATGTTAACAGAGTTCACTGTAATTGTAAAAACTTGGAACTCTAGCATGGGGATAAAATGAACCATGTCAGAAGCTGACAGGAGATCTTACTACCATCAAGAAAAAAGAGCCAGGAGTGAAGTATACCCTTTGGACCCTGAGCTCCCTAAGCAATGAACCTCCTCGACCCAGGGGCAGAAAACTGTGACACTGTAAGAGCAGTAGCAGCAGAACCAAGAATCAGAAGGTGAGACAGAGCAGTGGGCTGCCAGCCCATGGAGCAAGAAATCTGAGTAACTTTGGGAAGGAAGCTGATTTGTGGAGCGGGGTGCCTCCAGGAACTTAAGTGAGGGAGAGAGAGGCAAGTGCCTTCAGGCCAAAGCTTATCATGGGGTGGTGTGTCCCGAGAGAGCCTTTATCTGCAGCTGAGTGGAACAAGTATGCCCTGAGCATTTCTGATCCAGTACTGTACCCCGTTAACTTCCTTAACAAACCTCAACACTGTGTGTATGGTATCTGAGTTCTTTGTGGCCACTGCAATGAGAAATATCACACCCAAATGAGAAGGACAGAGGGTTGTGTGAGGTTATGGATGGTGCCGTATTTTTGCAGACTCTATCAATACGATATAAGTTAATTGATCAGAAGGTTGATATAAACAACTTCTAGCTTACAGAGTTATGATAAAGAAAAGTGTTTATATGAGGGAGCTTCAAAAGGTTTGCAGAAAAAATGGAATTAAAAGATAATGAAATTTTTCCACAAACTTTTTAAATCCACCTCGTACATGTCCACATATATAAACTCACAAAAATCAAATAACTCACAAAGACAAGCAAAATAATTATTTGTACTCATATAAATAAATTTCTGGTGAAAAACAAAAATACTAAAAAAAAATTAAATTTGGCACAAACGCCACATAGGGTCAGTTCCTCCTATTTCCTCACATCTGGTTGTGAGAGACTATTGGTGTTCTTCCTCTCCTTAAAACTGTGTATGTATTTCAGGGGCCAAATGTGCTTACAATACATGAAATGGGAAAAGTAGCAGTGCTATTTTGCTATGCAGAAAAGTCATAAATTCATTCTGTATCAAGTATCAAGAAGAGATTTTTGCATTGTGTCAACAGTATAATCACAAAGTAATATACCCGAAACATCAACTCTAATGGTTGGTGGTTATGTGCCGTGGAGTCAATTCTGACTCATAGTGACCCTGTGCAGCAGGGTTTCCGAGGCTGCAAATCTTTATGGGAGCAGAAAGCCTCATCTTTCTCCCATGGAACAGCTGGTAGCTTCGAACTGCCGACCTTGACGTTTGCAGCCCAATTCATAACCGCTACGCTGCCAGAGCTCCTTTAATCAGTATAAAATACATGTTCAGCAAAACACTGTCACTTAATTCCCATTTGACTCAAGATTCTTCAGACAGAGAAATTCTTATCACATGAGAGTCTCACAACTCAAGTTATCAAAAAGCTACACTTAAGGAGGATTATCACTTCCTGAATGTTAATGTAATGATCTGAAATAAACTTGCTTCTTCAAGCTAAAAAGCATTCCCAGATTCATTTAAAATTTTTCCTCTAAATCTAAATTATTATCAATAGACTATGATTATGATGCAAGGATTTACTGGAAATATTTTTATGCAACACTGAGTCGGTACAACTCCTACCAACCTAACGTGCAACAGAACGAAACATTACCCCTGTCCTGCACCTCCTCACAACTGTTGCTATCAATCTGTCTCATTGAGGGTCTCCTTCTTTGTCATTGACTTCCTACTTTACCAATTATGATGTATTTCTCCAAAGACTGGTCTCTACTAATGACATTGTTCAAAGTCAAGTGAAACAAAGTTCTGGCTGTACTTTCTCCAAGACAGACTTTTCTGGAAGCCTGTGGTTTATTTAGTATCCTTCACCAATACCACAATTTGAATGTATCAATTCTTCTTTAGACTTGCATTTTCATCATCCAGCTTTCACATGCATATAAGGTGACTGAAAATCCCAAGGCTTGCGTCATCACAGTGACACCTTAGTCATCAGGTGCTATCTTTGCTTTTAAACACTTTAAAGGGGTCTCTTGCAGCAGATATGCCTAGTGTGCTGTTTTCAGGGGCACTGATTGTTGATCAAAGAAGAATGAGATCTTTGGCAACTTCTACTGCTTCACCATCTATTGTGTTTGTTGCTTACCAGGTAGGGCTTTCCTTTTCTTTATGTTCAGGTGTACATGGAATAACATTTAAAATAGGTAGTCAGATACTCCTCAAAACAATAAAACACCTGAAAATTACCTGCATCCAACTGTGCAGAACAGGAGAAGATGCTTCTTTGGGACTGGGAAGAGATGGACTGACATGAACACTACCGTAAGAAATGCTGTCAATATCGACACTGGGCAATACCTAAACAGAACGTAACATTACGTCGTTGCAAATACATCTATATTCTGATTAACAAAACATGCCTTCCATTCTTGACTGGGAAGTCAATACCAACACTTTAAATTGTAAAAATGTATTTTATAAAATTTGAAAAATAAAGGAGAAACACACATAAAATCCTTTAGTTTGGTACACAGCAAAAAAACCAAAGTCGGTTTCTTTCTTGACTCTTCACTGGTATTAGGTCATAAGCACATAATCATCCTGCCATATAGACTTGATCGTTACATTTCTAATGGCTATATAATATTTCAGTCAATTTACATGCCTTAATTATTTAATCATTTTTATTGATATATATTTAGGGTGTTCCCAATTTTTCCATTATCATAAATATTACTACTTAAAACATATATATTTCTTTTTCCAAGTTTTGAGTTATTTCATTATGCTTCAAAGCCAAACAGTAGATAACTTCTTAAATAAGGCATGAATATTTATAATTCTTGGTTAATTACAACCAAAAAGCAACTTTTCATGCACTTGATAAACGTCAGCAAACACATTACCTAATGCTTATGAAATTAGATAGTATAATTTTTTCAGTGTTATTAGTCCTGGTATGGCACTATAGAATTAAGCCCTGGACTTAACAAGTTCAAACCCACCAAGTGCTCTTTGGAAATTCTATACAGGGTTACTATGTGTCTGAATCAACTCAACAATTCAATGACACTTAACAACAACAACAACAAAAGGATACTTTTTAAATGGAGGTGCATTATTGTGATCTTAATTTGCATTACCCTTGACTAATACCAAGATTTAAATTATTCAATTTACTTGCTTATAAATTGTTTTTTTCTCCTCAGTACATTCTTATCTATGCATTTGAGCAATTCTGAATTTGCATCTGTATAGTTTTTCTCTCTTTTTTTTAAGAGGATCTTTATATCTGAATATTTGAAAGTTAATGTTTTACTAGTGCATTCCTTTCATATGTTTTCCTGGAATGTTGTTTTGCTTTTAGAAGTTTTTACATATTTAAATTTTAGATTTTTTTAGATTCAAAATCCTTTTTCTATCTTACCTAAGCTTTGTTCTCTCATATCCAGGCTTGCTGGTGGTAGTGGTGGTGGTGTGCCACAGAGTCAGTTCCAACCTCTCAGAGGGACCCTGCATAGAGTTTCTGAGGCTGTAAATCTTTATGGGAGCAGAAATCCTCATCTTTCTCCCACGGAACAGCTGGTAGTTTCGAACTGCAGACCTTAAGGTTAGCAGCCCAACTCGTAACCACTATGATAACAGAGTTCCTTCACATCTGAGCTTAGTTTCAGCTTTTATAAAAATTAAATTCAATTGTCTTCTAATTCTTCTGTGTTTTTATATTTTATAATTGTTCTTTGCATCCTGGTAGGCACTGGACTGTATAGACTGCTAAGCACAAAGCTAGTGGTTCAAACCCACCAGTCACTCCTTGGACATCTGATATGACCCAACGGTACTTAATAATAAATGTACTTTAACCCATTGCCTGACTGGAACTAACTTTCTGTATGGTAGAAGGTTAGAATCAAAACCAGGTGTTTTTTCTACATTGTTGCTAAGTGCTGTTGAGTTGGTTCTAACTCACAGAGACCCAACATGGGGTTTCCGAGGAGAGGTTGGTGCGTTTAACGCCAACCTTGAGGTTAGCAGTCCAGTGCCTATCTTACAGCACCACACCAGGAGTCCACATCACTAACCAATTATTACATACACAATTTTATTTACAATTATCCTTCCATTTCTCACCTATTCATGAGGTCATCATCACATATTGCATTCTTTTTAAGTAACAGAGGCAATTTGGAAAATATTCTGATATATTGTACAAGTTACAATACCCTTAACTTTTCTAAGTCTTTTGTTCTTTCAGATGCCAAAATTATTCTAAATTTAAAGTTTAAAAAACCTCACTTTTTAAAAGTAAAACTTTTTATAAGTTAAGTAAAATTTATGAAATATACAAATTGGATACTGTTGTTATTAAGTGCTGTTGAGTGGGTTCCAACTCATAGAGACCCTGTATAAGGTTTCCAAGCTTAAAAGTCTTTGAGAGAGCACAAAGTCTCATTGATCTCCTGTGAAGCAGCTGGTGGGCTTGAATCACTGACCTTATAGTTGATGGTCCTGTGTTTATCTTACAGAGCATAATGATGTCTACTTTGGTGGAGGTGTTAAGTGTTGTCAAGTCAGTTCTGACTCATAGTGGACCCTGTATATAGTTTCTGAGGCGTGGCTGGTGAGTCTGAAATGCCGACCTTGTAACTCAGTGCTTATCCTACAGTGAGTGCCACGGCAGGATTCCACTGATAGTATTGTTGTTGCTAAGTGCTACTGAGGCAGTTCCGATGCCTAGAAAACCAACCCAACCCCCACACACACACCCCTTACTGGTTTTCTGAGAAGCAACTGTTGGGTGTGAACCTCCACCTTGTAGCTCCAATCAATTGCAATCTAATGCTTATTCTAGAACACCACACCAGGACTCCCTTCCCTGATACTATTAGTGGACATAATTAATGAGCCCATTCTTTTTCACATTAGAAATCAATAAAAATTATACAGTAACTTGGAAAAAATTGACAACTTAAATATTTAGCCTTCACAAACAGAATTGAGTTTGCCCTTTCTAGTCATTCAATATATTTGAGTAAAGTTTCAAGCATTAATTATATATCATATACATTAACTCTTTTTAAAATTAATGATAATATATTGCTGTAATATACCTTTAGAATATCACCCAGTCACCTGGCAACGGATCACTAGCTAAAACAGGGCGCTCAAATCATGCAGAACAAAGATAGACTTATCACATTAAGATCACAGCTTTAAAGAATGAAGGAACAGAAAGGGAAATTTTCAAGAAGCAATGTAATGGATATTAAGTACTAATATTAAATCAAAGACTTCCTTACAATGTTCTGCTCATGCACCCTAGCATACCTGTACAGAAAGCTGAGGAGGATCCTTCTTTTCAGACTTCATCTCTACAACCGCTATATTAGGTCTCTTTATGCCAGCTTCTGGTTTTCGAGATGATGGAGGAATAGAAGTATTCACCGTTACAGGGTGGGGCTTACTTATTATGAGTCCAGCAGGTGGCACTGAATCACTATTACTCTGGGTCTGTCCTACGAATTTGGGGGAAGAAAATGAGCAAATTATTTAAAATATAAATGGGAAATTTTGATAAACTACCGAGATCTTTGTAGTTAAATTCTCATATGATTGTCTGACAATCACCTTCCCCTCCATCATCACCATCATCACCATATTCACTATGTCAACCTTTTAACAGTGACTAGCATTTACTCTGGCTTCATGGCACTTAACAACAACATTTATTAAGGAGTCCTGGTGTGGTGCTGTGGGCTAATGTGTCAGACTGCAAAGTCGTTTGAACTGCAAGGTCAGTGATTCAAGCTCCTTGGAAACCCTATACAGGACAGGGTCACTACGGGTCAGAATTGACTCAATGGCACTTAACAACAATAACAACATTTATTAGAGTCCTGTTGTGGTGCTACAGAATAAGAACTGAACTGCTAACCTCAAGAATAGCAGTTCAAACCCACCTCCTCGGAAACTCTATTGAGGGTCGCTATGAATCAGGAACCAATTCAATAGCACTTAGAAACAACATAACAACATTCATTAGGCACTTATATATACAAACACATCACACACACTAGCAAATTTAATCCTCAAGATGACTCCCCAAAAGATGGCAGACTAGATAGACACACTACCACAAAGATACAAAAGACAAAATAAGCATAAACGAAAATTCTGGCACCATGAACTTCAGAAGAAATGTTAGAGAGGCAGACGGAGTACTTGCTAGGAGGATAGGCTGAGCAGGGACAGCGAGAGAGGGAGATTGGGGAACGGCCCATCAGATGTGACTTGGATACCCTGTGAGCAGTTTTAGCAGCAGAGAACAGGCAGAGCAGATTTGCATGGACAATGGAAAAGTTTTGATTTCTTCTTTTTCCCCATGCTCCTCTGTGAACAAAAGTGTGGCCAAATTCCACTCTCATCCACCCCAACACAAACTATGCTCCCCAGGAGTTCAGAACCATGCTAGTGTGAGTTGGAGGCCAGCTGCACTGCTCTGGTGTGCCACTTTGGTGTCTGGATTCAGGTGGGCTTGGCTCCAGACCCATAAAATTTACAGACCCACCAGACCAACATTTAACTAGTGATTATGCACTCTCCCCCCCCCACCCTCTCACCACCCCCATTCCCTATGGTCCTAACAGACACTGAAACCAGCATATCAAGGGCCTCCACGAACTACATCTGAATTGAGTGCCCTGGACACAGATAACACTGAGGCCAATAAGCACTCCATTTAGGTCCAGAAACTCTGCTGTCACACACATCACTTCCACAGTCAGCCGTGAGTTCGTTGAATCATAGGCACCTCCCAGAGATTTCTCCCCTCCTGGTCCAACAACTACAATTTGGTTTCTACAAGTATGACAAATCCACAATGGCCTGGAGACAAGAGACAATTTTAATTCACAAGAAGAAAGAAGAGAAAATAGCTCGATGATGCAGGGAGGGATTGTAACCATGGCAATGAAACAATATACGATAGGATGAATGTAAAGCTAATGTTCTCCCATGTAAAATATCACATAATTCACAAAAAAAAATTTTAAAAATAAATAAAAAGAGAGAATAGCTCAAACAAATGATCACGATGCAAAGCCAGAAAATGATTCTAAGGAAGAAAAGGTAATGGAACTAACCAAAAAAGAATTTAAAAGAATGAACAATAATTAGATATCGTCAAAGGATCAACAGAAAGATCAAAGAAAGCAAGGAGAACACAACAAAAACTTTAGAAAATTCAGGAAAACACTACAATAACAGACAAGATAAATGCAAATTTTCAAACAATACAAATTTTGAAAACTAATTTTTTAAATGCAATTAGAAATCCAGGAGATTAATACTCAGATCTCAGAAATGGACAATACATTGAAAAGGCAAAGGAGTAGAGCAAAGCAATTGAAACCCAAATGAGTGAGCTTGAAGCTAAAATCTCTTAATACTAGTACACTAGAAGAACAATCACAACAAAGAATTAAAGAATCCAAAGAGAGCCTAAGAGGACACCATGAAGAGGAACACCCTATGGGTAATTGGAATTCCAGAACAGGAAGAAACAAGCATAGAAAAAACTGTTGAAGAGTTGTTGGAGGAAAACTTCCCTAAGATCATGAAAGACAATAAGATAAACATACAAGTTGAATGAACCTCAAACAGGATAGATCACCCCAAATAATCACTAAGACATATCATAATCAAACTTTCCAAAATCAAAGACGAGGAAAGAATCATGAAAGCAGCTCAGCAAAAACAAAAAGCTACCTAAACAGGAGAACCAATAAGAATAAGCTCTGATTTCTCAGCACAAACCATGCAAGCAAGAGGGCAAAACTCTGAAAGAAAAAAACTGTCAACCAAGAATTATATACCCAGCAGAGCTGTCAATCATCTACAACAATGAAATTAGGACATTTTCTGATAAACAAAAATTATAAGTTTGTAATGACCCAGACCAACTTTACAAAAAATGTTAAATAGTGTTCTCTGGACTGAGAACCAACATTAGCAGACAACAACCTGAGACTACCATAAACAACAAAACCACCAGAAATCAATCTAGATACAGAAGTATTTAAGGAGCTCTGGTAGCGTAATGGTTACAAGTTGGGATGCTAACCTCAAGGTCAGCAGTTCAAAACTACCTATGGTTCCACAGAAGAAAGCTGAGGCTTTCTGCTCCCGTAAAGATTTACAGCCTCGGAAACCCTGTACAGGGTGACTATGAGTCAGAACTGACTCCACAGCACACCACCACCACCAAAGTAAAACAAACCTACATGACTAAAAATAAGATGGGGGCTATAAAAGCACAAAGCAACTGGCTTACAAGTTTTTAAGAGGGAGTTTCATTACACTGTGAAGGACATTATGCGGAGTGAAATTAGTCAATCACAAAAGGGCAAATAAAACCAATGTTATAAAAAGTTAAGAAAAGATTTTCCTACTACAAGCAACAATCTATGGTGGTTACAGGGGCATAGGGGTGGAACACAGGAAGGGAAAATTATTCATGGGCTAGAGGACAGACACATGTTAACATGGGTGATAGGACAAGCAATATACAACCAAAGGGAGGTTAGCAGAGGAAAGATGAAGGTAGCAGAAGGCACAGGGAGAAATGCAATAGTTAAAGTGAATAGAGGTAAATGCTGTTAACTGTTGGTACATGGAGGGGATTGCAACCATGTAATTGAGCAAAGTATATGAGTTGTTGAATGTAAAACCGATGATCTGCTCTGTAAATTCACACTAAAAAGGGTGAGACAATAATCCTCGAAATAAGCCTATACGGTACTTAATGAGAATAGGTTTAGAGATGGAATGCAATTTTCCCAAATGCAGACCCAGGGATAAAATATATTATGCTATTTTGTACTCTTTTTATTCTCAAATTATAAGAGAAAGCTTGAAATAAGTTTCTATACAGAAATAATTAGAGCAATAACATACTACTACTAATAGCTTGAAGTGCTTGACTACCAATAGCATGAAGGCCATCTACTTGGCAACTATCATGTTGTTGTTGTTATTGTTGTTGAGTGCCATCAGGTTAGTTTCAAACTCACAGCGACCCTGTATAGGGTTTCTGAGGAGCAGCTGGTGGCTTTGAACAGCTGAGCTTATGGTTCACAGTCCAGTGCTGATACTACAGTACCACACTATCACAGCTGTCAAAAACTTGTGAATTTTTACTTCCAAAGTTTCACCGCTTCTGACCTTTCCAAGTAAACAGGGATAGTACACTGTATTGTTAAAAGCACAGAATCTAAAGGTAGACTGCCTAGATTTGAATCCTGCTCAATGCTAGCCTTTGACACTTGACCCCTTTCTGCCTCAGTTTCTACATCTACAAAATTAGTACAATATTACCAACTTTAAAAGGTGAATTAAATGAACTAAGCTATGTAAGTACTTAAAACTGTACCTGGCTTCCAGCAAGAACTTTATAAGTGTTAGCCATTATATTACGAGACGAGAAGGTACTTTTGAACAGACATTAACTAGCAAGATGACATGTCATTACTACATGCTGTTGTTAAGTGCCGCCGAGTCGATTCCAACCCATAGCGACCCTGTATAGGGTTTCCAAGGAGCAGCTGTGAACTTGAACCACTGAACTTGCAGTTCAAACAACTTTGCAGTCTGACGCATTAGCCCACAGCACCACAACAGGACGCCCATTACTACATAATACCAAAAACAAATTTTTTAATCTCAGATTTAAACTATCCATCAAAATTAAGGAAGAAAGACAATGATACTAAAAGAAAAATATAGCTAACTGGATTTTCAAGAGTGAGTATGAGGGCGAAAATGATTTGCTGAATTTTTAAAATGAGAAATCTCAAATAATAGACTGTACAACCACATAAATCTGGGCTATTGCAACATAATTCAAGAGTATATAAATGTGCTTTAAAAGTACTTTCCTTAATACATAATGATATTAACAAGTCAATCAAAACTGTTGATTATGAATGGTTATGTCAATTCTATTTTGATTTCACTTCTCCTACAGCAAAATACCAAACTAAAAAAAGCTCTCCCGTGAAACTATAGCAAAAACACATTGTTTCAGAAATTGCTGTTCCACAGAAACAACACCTGCAGGGAAAGGTAGTGGCTGTCATGTCAATACCATTTTGTAAGTTCTGCGACTAAGGATAAAACATTTATACATTTATATATTTTAATTTAAATTTTACCCCAATATATTTTATTTGTACTTACCTAAAAGAATTGCCATAGGAATTAGATGACCTTCTAGGGTACCTGAATGAGTGGGCATTTCTCTGCTTGGGCTAAACAAATACTGTTGCTGACCAACATGAGGTAGTGTAGTAAGAGAATGCTGTGTCTTAGAATCCATCTTCATAGGTTTTGTTGCATAAACATCAGTTTGTGTTCTTATTGACTTTACTTTAGTGCCTATAATAATTATCAATGGCAAAAATTGAAAATCGTATTATCTAACCATCTAGAAATGTAGCGACTCTTTCTTTACAAACAAATTTTTTTACATTAATATTGTTTATTGACTGTTTATTTTAAATGTATTTGATCAGTGGTTAATATTTGCAAAGTATTACTATCACGAGGCACAGGGAATAGACCAACCATCCTTATGAAGTTTATAGTCTAGTAAGAAAAACAATCACACATCAGATAATGAAAAGTGCTATGAAAAGTCATAAGGCAAAACAAAGGAATTCAAAGGGACCAGAGATAATTCTTTGGATAGGATGATCAAGCCTAGACCTCTTTAAGGAGCTAACACCTAAGAGCAGAGATCCAAATGAACCAAGTGCTTAGGCCAGGCAAATGTCTAGGGAAAGAGTACGTCAAGTAGGAGATATACCAGGTACCAAGCCCTGAGATAAGTACGTAACCACAGGCTCTCACTTAGTTCCATTATTAAAGAGCTGTTGGGGTTTTTTTGGGGGTATTTGAATGTATTTTAACACCTCAAGTTATTTTTTGCAAAGGCTTTCTTTCAAATCCCCAAATACATGATTACGAAAGTAGGATTTCTGGATAACTTGGCATCCATATATGGTTTCTTGGACTCCTGGTGTGGGGCTGTAGGATCAGCACTTGAATGCAAGGTTGGTTTTAACCACAAGGTAAGCGGTTCAAAGCTACTAAACACTCCTTGGAAACCCTATACAGGGTCGCTATGAGTCAGAACCAACTACATGGCAGTAAACAACAACAACAGTCTCTTAGTTTCAGGAATAAGAGGGACTAAAGCAACTGCCAGGATCTCTGGTAGCATAGGGGATTACGAGCTGAGCTGCTAACAAAAGGTCAGTAGTTTGAATCTACCAGCCGCTTCGTGGGACAAAGATGAGGCTTTTTGCTCCCGTAAAGATTTACAGCCTCGGAAACCCTGTACAAGGTCGCTACAGGGTCGCTATGAGTTGGAACCGACTCCATGGCATATAACAACACCAACAACAAGCATTATATAATTTGAGTTGTATTTATAAATAAAAAGAAAGAAAAGTGAAACTCTATGTATTGAACCTAGTTTTTTAAAAATGAGGTTCCTTACCTTTAACTCGTTCTATTAATTTTGGTCTCTGTGATTTGGATTTAGGAGAAGGAGAGTTAAATCTGAGATATGGTCCTTTTTTAAGAGTGCTGCGATGGCCCTGGTAAACTGGTTTTCCGTAAATTTGTAGCATATGATTCTCGTCTTGTTTCCCTGTGGTTGCTTTCAGAAATCCCTATGCATACAATCAAAGTTATTCAACTCACCAAGAAAACACTTACCTAATATGCATTTGCCTCAATTTCCTAATGCCTCCTTTTTCTAGTTTAAGTACTGAATTTAGAATGCCCAGGTGAGAAACATCCTCTGTTTTTAAGAGCTCATTAAATTCTGTATATAGTTTTCAAAGGTGTTTCAAAAGCATGAATATTAAATATAAAAGTCATTCATCTACGAAACATTAAGATTCTTAACACTACTAAGTCTATTTTCAGTATCAAATGTAGTGTTTAAAGACGTCTTACATACTTAAAACATTCAGGTACAATAAATAACAATAAATCAAGTCTTTAAATAAATTCCTGAGGCATTAGATGACAAGAGATGGAATCAGGAATATAGAAAAAGACAATAGTACTTACTGAGTGCTAGGCATTAAATTTAATGCTTCACTAATTTCCTAAAAATCCATGTTTGGCATTAAGAAATGTACAACTTAGTTAAAGCAGCTAAAAAATTCCCTCCATAGCATTCAGTACTGTGTTTTATACCTCTGGGCACAAAACATATTTGTTGAACTAAAAAATAACTATACATACACATAGATACACACAGAAAAAAAGATGAACAACCATTTTGAGTACTAATAACTAGATAATTTCATTTTTGGACAAGATGCTTTCTAGGTACACCTCCTACAACTAAAATCTATTGATTCTCAGCTTTATGATCTCAGAAGGAAGGAACGATATACACTTTTTGTGCAATGTTTTCCACATTACAGAGATTCATAACCCTAAATATCAATACTTCAAAGAGCATTTAGATGTGTATAATCCACATTTTAAAAACACTGTAATTTTCACTTGATCATGTATATCAAAATGGAAATGATCAATTATAAGATAGAATCCATGTTATAAAACCAAATTAGAATCTTACTTCTTTTCTCTCTTTCTGTAAACTTGAAACAGGCATGTTCCTTATAGATGGATTTTTTAAATACTCCTCTATTTGTTTTTGGCAATGTTTTCCTGGAATTATGGAATTATTCATAGTTTTGTCTTGCATGTTGGTTTTAATGTCTTTACTCATATTTTGTAGTTTCTTGGTCCTTTGATTCTTCGGGTCAAATCTCTTTTGTTCATAATCTTTTCTTGCCAGCTCATCCTTAACATAATCAAAATCAAAATTACTTTTGATTTGTATCCAAGTAGGCAATGCTTTTGTATAAAAAAATTTGAATTTAGCTATAAAATTAAAGTTGTTTATAAAGTTTATAAGTAAAACAACGTTGTTAAGTGCCGTCGAGTCAGTCGAGACTCACAGCACATCCCTGTATAGAGTTTACGAGGAGCGGCTAGTAGGTTTGAACTGCCAACCGTTTAGTTCACTGCCCAGTGCTGATCCTACAGCACCACACTGGGAGTTCCAATAAAGCATACTGGCTTGCATTTGAATTAAAATTCTATGAAAGGATAAGAAAAAAACTGGGAAGATTGGTATTTTATGGACCAGGGGGATGGGAAGTAGTGGATGAGATACAGGAGTGGGACAGCAACTATTCATTAGAAACGTTTTTATACTTTTTGATGCTTTGATCAAACAAGTGTATCAACAGTTCAAAAATTTAATTCAAAAGACTGTATTCCCAAAAAGCCTGCAAAAAACTTATAAACTAAAATTATTAAAAAGTTTCAATAAATGAATTCTGCATGGGATTATTCACAGTAATAGACTAACATATATTAGCACTGTGGTCTAATGGGTCAGACAGCATAGTTGTTTTGAACTGCAAGGTCGGTGAATCAAGTTCACTAGCTGCTCCTTGGAAACCCTATACAGAGTCGCTATGGGTCGGAATCAACTCGACGGCACTTAACAACAACAACAACATAAAGTCAGAACTAGACACAAAGCATCCTGACTTTTTCCTGTTATATCATACAGTAGCTAATATGAATTATTAACATCTATATTAGACTACATTCCAAAATACATTTCAGTGTTTACTGCTGTGGAAACAAAACTGACCCTTTTATCTTGCTACCATGTGAGTAAGGATATAAGCCACATTTCATTGTCAGGAAAAAAACACTGGGCACTCCAAGATAAACAATAATAATGGAACTTCCTTAGGTTTCCCCATATAGATAAAACCTTGTTGTTGTTGTTGTTATGTGCCGTGGAGTCGGTTCCGACTCATAGCAACCCTGCATAGGGTTTCCGAGGCTGTAAACCTTTATGGGAGCAGAAAGCCTCATCTTTCTCCCACAGAACAGCTGGTAGTTTCGAACTGCTGACCCTGAGGTTAGCAGCCCAATTTGTAACCTCTACAATATAAAACCTTAGCTCCCTTAAATTACTGATCCACTAAAAAGAATAGGTCTCTCCCACTTCCCGATGCTGATGTTTGAAGATACAGCATGACCTCTGCAGACAAAATAATCACATGAGAAAGATATTTTTCCAACTAGAAGTAATTATAAACTTAGTAACCTAAGGAATCTTGTGGAGGATTTTCCCTTTAAAAACCTTTATTGTGTTTACTTAGGCAAGTCAATGTTTTAAATCAGTCTTGAAATGTACTTTGCAAGTATACTTCCTTTCTAAATGCTTTTCCTAAATTTACTCTCAATTAGTCATATTTTAGTTATCGTCTATCTATTTGCCAGATAGTCATCGTATAATTTGAGATACAGCACTTGTTAAATAAAAGTATTCTAAGTGTAAGAATGAAATTTAGAATTTATAAGTAAACTTACACACAAGGAATATTTTTAGTATAATGTGATATTTATAAATTGAAATCAATGTTATCTTCTGTCACTTTATTCTCATTTTTTTCTACACATACCTGAATTTCTGCAGAAATAGTTTTAATCCACTCATCTACAGTCTTTCTGATCCGAATCTTCTCTGACATCTCTCTACAAAAATAAATGAAAAAGCAATTTTCTTAAATTATCACTTACTGTCCTGAGAACAAGATCTTAATCAGATCTAACTCTTATCTAGTTTTGAATCCATCATGTAACCTAATATCCTTCATCTAAAACAAAAAACAAAAACAATGTTATTATTCTTCACCAAATGTCTGAAGGATACATGTTAAAAAATGCATGTGGATTGTACAAAATAAACATCAAAAAGAGAAAAAATAAAATAAAATAAAAGGAAACTTTCCATCAGTAATACATGTATATTAGAGAGCTTCAAAAAGTTCCTGGAAAGATAAAAGATAATGGAATTTTTCCACAAACTTTTTAGAATTCTTGTCATATGTCCAAATTCATACTTCAAAGGCAATAAAGAACATTTCCTAAACATTAAAACACACTAAACAAAATGAAGTGTTCAAGAAAAAAATTAAGAAAGCCCATAGAACTGTCAGCTTCACAAAATCCCTTTGGGATGGCAACATTCTCTGTTACCTGTTCGTAGAGAGAGCATTGATAAATGAGTACATGGCAGCTCCATCCTTTGCACGAATAATAGCTTCCAGGTTTTCTTCAAGCACTTTTTTATTGTTTTGTACTCCTCTCAAAATCCTCTCAGCATCTTTCAATATGGATCTTGTTGCTTTAGTTGTTGGAAATTTAAGTGAATTCTGTGGAAGATCAGCAAGTCTTGTCATAATCAAAGAGTCTTTAGGCTTAAAAAAAAAAAAAAAAAAGTTATCATGTAGCTCATCTTGACTGTTATAATCCAAACAAGAGCTATTACTATTGTTGGGGTCAAATACTATACACCAATAAATCTTAACACCTAGATTTGTCAAATTGAAGAATCATAAAAGAATACTGGCAATTAATACTTCTTTCCATTCAAAAATACCAAATTGAGTGCTAAATTAAGTGTTGCTGTTGGTAAATGCTATGGAGTCAGTTCAACACAAAGCAACTCTGTAAAGGGTTTCTGAGGAGTGGCTGGTAGGTTTGAATCACTGACCTTGAGGTTAGCAGTCCAGTGCTTATCCTACAGCAACACCCCAGAACTCCGCTAAATGAATAGGGCTGAAAAATCCCAGTAGTATTAGGCAGTCCAATGACCATTAAGGGTTACATCTGATGACCAAAGGTAAAGCAAGATAGACACAAAGTGGCTGTTGGTAGGTATGGCAGACATTGTGGACGGGGTCTGAACAAGGGCCATTCACCGCCCACTTTCTCCTTCCTTCCTCTACAAAGGAAGATACAAAGCTAGAGGTAGTCACCCTGGCTTCTGAAAAGCTTTGTCAAGGGACTACTCAGACATGGCTGACATGTTTTTTTCAGTGCTTTGTCCTTCATCTTTACCCCTAATGTCTGTTTTCTTAACTTTTTTATTCCTTCCTAATCTGATCTGTATCATCACTGTTAGCATTCTGTCCCCACTTTACCAGAGGCATGCCATTTGTTACATTCTTCTTTTGGTCAACATCATGAAAATCATCACCAGGTTTCTGCACAGTCACTTTAGTTGTTCCTAGCTCTTCATAGGAAGGGAACATTTGAGAAGGCACAGTGCCAATGCTATAAAAAAAATCAAAAAGAAAAGAGTTTCCCAAGTTTCATAAATTCAATAAACATGATTATATAAATATCTGACACATTCTCAATTATACATTATTAAATTGTATCAAAATTGTACAATGCAATTAATAATTTATGTGATCAAACATATGAAAAACAAAAAATCTCGAGACAAAATTACCAGACAGGTTTAGGCGTAGTAGGAAAAGGGCAGAAAAAGACTGTTTTAAAAAGCTTACAGTCAAGAATATTTCTATAACTAGAAGAAGAAAGAAGAAGAAAAACAGAGTAAACTGATACAATCTGATGAACTTGACCTACACCTATGGATACAGTAGCTCCAAAGAGGGAACAAATCTTTACAGCAAGGACCATTCCCACCCCCTTAATACACAGAGTAGACAGGGATGAGCAACTTGGACATTGACTACCCAAAGTGGGGGGGCTACAAAGGCAAGAAGTGACTGGCTTACAAGCTTTCAAGAGGGAACCTAGATCCAGAGGGCCTGGAGGAAGGTAGAATATCCACTTAGTTGTGTCCAATATGTCTAGGCAGGACTGGTGAAAGGAAACACAGATAGGTCTTTTGTGATACAATAGTGAATAATTGTTATCAGGACTGATTGTGAGGGTTGTAAATGTAAAGGTAGACGTTTTGTAGCAAGGAGGGGAGTGATTAACTTTTCAGTCTAGGAGCGGAGGTCCCTGGGACCATAAAGGGAGAAGAGCGGAGAGCGAGACCCTACCCAGAGAAGAAGTGACGCCAGAGATGGAAGCAGAGATGATGACGTGGAAAGATGGAGCGGCTGGGTATTTAGACACAGAGAGGGAGAGGGACTGTGTGCTGACAACTGGGGGGCAGGTTTGCAGGGTATACCCTTTGGTTGGTTGATGTTGCATGGAGGGATTGTGACCATGGTAATTAACATTTAAATAAATTTAAAAAGAATACTTCTATAATGGTGGAATAAGAATCTCTGAAAATCGATAAAAATTTGTCAAAAATTATTAAAATCAACTTTTTCAGAACACTAGGAATTAAATAAAGGCTCACAACACTCTAAGCTGCATTTACATTAAAAAAAATAATAAAGCTGAGTCTTGGCAAAAACAAGCTTTCTGGCATTTTTAACTTGTGCTACTCCCATCCAACCTTCCTAGGCGCTGTTGCTACTGCTGTTAGGTACTGTCAAGCCGCTTCTGACTCATAGTAACCCTACATAGGGTTTCCAAGGAGCGCCTGGTGAGTTTGAACCACTGACCTTTATCACACAGTACCACACCAGAACTCCCTGAAAATCAACAGCCTCACAGTCGCTAAAGAGCTCAGTACAGGTGGAGTGCAACTCCAAAAACTCCACTCACAGGGTTTATCTTTATTTGACCTGAGTCAGAACTAACTCAGTGAGAAGCAATATCCCCAGGGAATTTGGTGAAAACTACGAGTAACAAATGTTTATGATCTCAGTTTAATATTGCCTGAGGTGACAATAACAATTGATGTTAATTAAGAAGTCTGCTTAATGATTTGTAAAGTCTTTCAAATAAGGTGTCCAGAGGGTGCTTTGTAAAGCTCCAATATATTCTTTGGGATCTAGAAGGTTTTGTACCAGGGTGTATGAATGCTAAGGAAAGAACTGAGAAGACTCTAATCTCTAACACCTGACAGATTTGAGGCTCTGTTGGTTCAGTTTGAACTGCAAGGTCCGCAGTGAAAGCTCACCAGCTGCTCCTCGGAAACCACATACAGGGTTGCTATGGGTCAGAACCAACTGAACAGCACTTAACAACAACAACATAAGTAGGGAGTCCTAGTGTGGCACTTTGGGATAATGCATTGGACTATACAGTTGGTTTGAACCGCAAGGTTGTCGGTTCAAATTCACCAGCCACTCTTCAGAAACCCTATACAGGATTGTTACGAGTCTGTGGCACTTAACAACAACAAAATACATTGGGGAGGGGGGGCTGGTATGGGGTGGCACACTTATAAACTGCCAGAACACTCAAAGCATGTCCTAACACATATACATACAGATGCTTTTGGCAAAGACTTATTTATTAGTTCAAGGTTAAGAAAATCTCTTTTCAATCATTAGCTGACTTCAGTGGCTACATACAACAATGAATATAAATTTTACAGAATGAGCCCAGGAAAGTCATTAAACAAACAACTTGGGGCAAGTTAAAACAAAAAACAACAAAAACTGGTAGAAAAGGGATTTGAATTCCAATGTTGGCACACTATATTAGGTTAAGTGTTCCATTTTCAACAAAAATTTACGAGACACAGTAAGAAACAGGAGAGTATGTATGGTTAATAAACAGCAAAAGCAGAGTCAATAGAAACTGTCGTCCTTGAAGAATTTCAATCCAAACACTGGACGGACTTACTAAACAGACTAATTCATTTATATAAAGAAAACCATGTCCAAAATATTAAAGGAAAATATAGGGAAAAAAATTCACCAAATAGAGAATATCAATGAAGAAGTAGAAATCATTTTAAAATTAAATAAAAAGAACCAAGTAGAAATTCTGGAGTTTAAAAACATAGCTGAAATGCAAAATTCATTAAAGGGACTTGAGAGCTATCTTAGCAGAAATGCATAAGAATCAGCAAACTTAAAAGACAGATTAAATGAGATGATCTGGTCTAAGGAACAGAAAAAAAGAGAATGAAGGAAAATTAACAGAGCCTCAGAGATCTGTGGGCACCATCAAAAATACCAACACATAGCATCATTCATGAAGAAGAGAGAATATTTAAAGAAATGACCAGAAACCATCTAAATAAGAACTAATCTCATCCAAGAAGGGCAACAAACTCTAAATAGGATAAAATAAAAAGATCCACACTTAGATACATCAGTGTCAAACTGTCAAAAGTCTAAGACAGACCCAGAGTCAGTGACATAGCCACAGAGGACTAGAGTGGAGAGTGAAGTGTCCAGCTGATAAGAAGAGAGGGC